ACACTTGCTGTCCCACGTGGACTGATGGAGCATTGGCCGCTCCCATCTCAACCATCTCTGACAGTCTGCCCCATCCGGACAGATTTCAATGTCAACAGCTAACACCTGAACCTCAAGTGAAGTCGTACTATACAATATCCGACTGTGATTCGAGATACGCCTGTGCTCTCGGAGAAGATGATCTTAAAACTGACCCAAAGTGCTCGAAAAAGGAGGCGTTGGCTCGCAACCTGACCGTTCAAAGGTGCCGAGATCCTAACACGAAAACCATGGACGACGTCACACCTTATCTAGACTTGCATCACGGAATAGTTTACAGAAACAAATTCTGCGCCATTTGTAACGGATATCTTTTAGACGGAGGGGAGAACTTTACAAATATTAGCTACGTTGGTCATACAAAATTGGCAGGTGCCTGGTCATTGCAAGTGTCGTGTGACCATTACCAGTATTTGTTCAACATCACATCAGAGTTTGAGCTCTTCACAGCGGCGTCGGGTATTTACAAACGCATCTGCCGAGTAACATTCAATCCCCCAAAGTCCAATTTACCGCCCAAAGAATGCCAAAAGGGCGTCCGAGCACACGTCGAGCCCAGTTGCTTGACGTCATCGGACGCAGCTCTGAAGGACAACTGTTTGAGTCTTAGTGGACGTTACCTTACAGTGGACGAGCACAAAAATATTTTCTGTTTCTTATGCAGCCAACCCAATGACGCTACCTTATTCTGCAGTCTCATAAGCTTCTTTAGATGGGAGAATTCTAACCATATTGAATACATACCAGCGCCACCTATCACTTTGTTATTCAGTCTAAGCAGACGTCAGAAACTGTCCCCCCATAAAAAGTATGGGAACTGCTCTTCAACAAAGGATGTGGATGCACATCAGGTAAAAGCCCTACCGTTTATTGTTTCTTTACATTGGGAGATTTGGGTTGGGTTGAAGAGGAAAACTCATTCTTTTCCAGCATAAAATAATAAATTGTGGAAGTGCTCGAATTTTTTATAATTGAACTGCTCTTTAAAATGTTCTTAGAAAATTTTTTCTTTTGTTTTATTTGCGGTTGTAGCTAAAACTTTTCTTGGCAGCACAGTTAAAAATTGTAAGATATCGGGTTGGAAAGTGATTTTAAATGTGGGTCCTAATCTGATTTCATTGTAAAAAGTAATTGTTTTGTTGAAATTGTTGGCACTTGGCAGACAGTCTTAAGAATGAAAGCGCTTTATAAACTTTAGCTAAAATAGTAACACAACATCATTTTTGTAACTTCTGCTTAATCAATATTATATGCTGAATTGTAAAATGAGTCATCTTAATATACCAAAATATATAAAAAGTATCCGAAATAAATACATAAAAAGCATCTTTTAAAGAACAAATTATGGACCTAAAATCTCTAAACAAGAATCTTCTTAGTATAATTGATCTAGTTCTGAATATATCGTGAGATGCCATATATAAATTATTTCATGTTTGCAGATGTATTTTTTCTTCTTCTTCATAAATAGGATCAGTGCAAAGCGTCTGAATGTTCTCCCGGTAAACTAGAGACGCGAAGTGGAACTTGCTCAAGTGTTATCAAACAGATACGTGGGCTGGGGTACAAGATGTCTATGACACTTGCTCCATATCACAAGCTTCTTGTCACTGAAGATCACATTCTAAGTCTTCTTCAGGAGACTTTCAAACAACTTTCAGACCTGTCTAAGGAAGTGGACCTCAGGATTGACGCACTGGTCAGCGGAAAAAAGGGGGGCGCAAACAGCACATACGTGCTGGATAAATTTGACATTGAGGTGTTTCTCATCGGTCACCATGAACTTGAGCGAGACGAGTTTGAGCGCAGGTTGGTAAAACTAGCGCAGAAAACCTGGGAATTGAAAATCTTAACCAATACGAGCTCAGAGCTGGAGGTCAAGTTATTCGCTCTTCTACTGGGAAACAACTTGTTTAACATATCGCCAGTCGACATAGAGCAACAGGTTTTGGACTCAGACAGCTGCAATCGATACATTTTTATGTCGTACAGTTTAGACGTCATTGATTTATACAATGATAACTCCACAAATATGGCCGGCAGGCGGATTTTTAAGTTCTGGCAGACAACAGAAAAAACTCGTTGTTCTCTTTGGAATATTAAAAAAGACTTCATCGACGTGACGTACAGCCTAACATGCCCGTATGTCGTTGTGAACCTAACTAAACTATCCATAGAAGAGCATTCAGCCAGTGTTAGTTTCGAACATGATGGGCGAATAGTGGAACTTACAAGTTTACAAAATATTTCTTTAGTGGACGACCAACTGAGAATTTGTATTGATTTGTTTAAGATGGCGACACACGCCACGCAGTCAACAGACATCGTCATACTGATATTGTATTATTTCCAAGTTGTCTGTGTGTCTGTCTCCATAGTCTGTCTGATTCTTTCTTTTGTAACATTTTGTCTATTTCCGTCTCTGCGATCTCTACCAGGTTTAAATAACATGAGTTTGTGTCTATCTCTGGCCATCGCCCAGACTTGTCTTCTGATAACAGTCCAATATGGGGTACACGGAGTTCTCCCCCCTATCTATTGTCTTCTTCACGCGATAGTCCTACATTACAGTTGGCTGGCATCTTTCTTGTGGATGAGCGCGTGCTGTATCCACATGTTTCGTGTATTTACTTGTCATGGAAACCAATTTATAAATACTCGCTCTGATAAACAACGTCATTTTAAATATTGTCTTTACGCGTTTGGAGTCCCACTTGTCATGGTCGCAATAACCATGGTCATAAACAACGCGATAACTTCCGGTGCATCTTTAGGTTATGACGACACCATTTGTTTCCTAGACATCCGCACGTCTGCTATGAACATCACGTTGTCACTTCTACTTCCGTTATGTTGTATGGTTCTCATCAATGGCGTTTTATTTGCACTAACAGTTCGAGGAATTATACATGTGACAAAAATACAAGAAACTACGACTAGAAGAGACAGTCAAGGTGTGATGACATACGTCAAACTGTCCACTCTGACCGGTGTGTTCTGTATTGTAGCTGCCGTCTCGGTTTGGCTAAACAACATTCCGCTTCAGTTTGTTACGTCACCACTCATGGCCCTGCAAGGTGTCTTCATATTTTTCTCATTCATTGTGAACCGTCGAGTGGGAAAGCTCTACTCTGTATGGTTGGGCTACAAGAAATCCATTGGTCTTTCAACCAGTGATAAAGGCCAACACAGCGAGTCTGTTCCTGTTAAATCCATACCTTATTATTCCACAAGATGTGATACTTGTGCTACTGAAATATAAGATGCTGGAGCATTGGCTCTTAACTACCCCTGTTAGAATGACGATCCCTTGAAGAACAGTGATTTATAATTATAACATTTTTACCCTTAAAATTTTGTGTGAATTATTTCCTATCGGTGCAAACTAAACAAAATAATGTATTCTCGTAGAACCCATCTTATTTTTGATATTCAATTGAAATGCATAGACGAGACGAGGTTTAGTGAACAGCAGCTTCGTAAAATGAGTTGTGAGGTAGAGCCCCACTGTAGAAAGTCCTATTAGAAGGCCTCTGACGCTTCCCCGTGATGGGAGGGGGCAGATTTTTGGTCGTAAATATACCATCCCGGCTCCTGTGAAGGTCGACTGGTGCGTTGTGAGAACAGCGTCACTGGATGTCTTTCGGCTGGGGTGGCCTCCGTCGGTACCCAAATCGAGTGGAAGTTGGCCGGTTTGGAGGGGGGGGGATGCTTTAGGGAGTGAATAAAGGGCTCCCTGACGCCATTTCCTAATGTACAATTTCAGTTAACAGCAGATGCCCATCCATGGAGTTTTCATAAAGCTGATTAAGTTCATTTGGTGAGCTCCTGCAAATAAAATTACACCACCAAGGTAGCATTTGCACTGCTCCTGCAGATAATTATACACCACCAAGACGGCACTCTCTTATACTGACAAACCATGGGAACCACGCCTTACAAGGACACCACATGGGAGCCATGGCTTACACACACCACACATGGAACCGTGCCTTACACAGACCCCACATGGTAACCATGCATTACACAGACACCACATTGGAAACAGTGCCTTATACTGACACCACATTGGAAACAGTGCCTTATACTGACACCACATTGGAAACAGTGCCTTATACTGACACCACATTGGAAACAGTGCCTTATACTGACACCACATTGGAAACAGTGCCTTATACTGACACCACATTGGAAAAAGTGCCTTATACTGACACCACATTGGAAAAAGTGCCTTATACTGACACCACATTGGAAACAGTGCCTTATACAGACACCACATTGGAAACAGTGCCTTATACTGACACCACATTGGAAACAGTGCCTTATACTGACACCACATTGGAAACAGTGCCTTATACTGACACCACATTGGAAACAGTGCCTTATAATGACACCACATTGGAAACAGTGCCTTATACTGACACCACATTGGAAACAGTGCCTTATACTGACACCACATTGGAAACAGTGCCTTATACTGACACCACATTGGAAAAAGTGCCTTATACTGACACCACATTGGAAAAAGTGCCTTATACTGACACCACATTGGAAACAGTGCCTTATACAGACACCACATTGGAAACAGTGCCTTATACAGACACCACATTGGAAACAGTGCCTTATACTGACACCACATTGGAAAAAGTGCCTTATACTGACACCACATTGGAAAAAGTGCCTTATACTGACACCACATTGGAAAAAGTGCCTTATACTGACACCACATTGGAAAAAGTGCCTTATACTGACACCACATTGGAAACAGTGCCTTATACAGACACCACATTGGAAACAGTGCCTTACACAAATACCGCATGGCAACCGTGCCTTACAGACACCACATTGGAAGCCAAGACTTACAGACACCACATGGGAACCATGCCTGACACAGACCGTATAATTAAATATCATTAAACGAATAATTTCATTTGCCATTTGTAAAACAAGTACTTTATTAAGGCCATCATGTATCTCTATCCCTTTATTATGTTTTTTATAACCTGTAAATTGAGAGATATCCAATAAGTTTATTGTTAGTTATGTAATTCAATGTAGGGCATTTAATAACCTGAACTATTTGTATCTTTTTGAACATGGTCATGTTTCGTATACCTCTTCTTTTGTTGTTCTAGTTCTAGTTACCATAGTCCACTAAAGCAAATAAAGATATAGTTCTTAAGACCTGGATTTCTTAGGATTTTTAAACTAAATTTTAAAACTTTAAGCCCAAACCAACCACAACAGTTCACCACTCAGCTGCATATAGAACCAGACATTGAAGATCTATTATGCCAAAAGTAGGCTGATACTTCCCACTAATAACTTGATGTTGATGAAAATTGTTCTGGATTGTATTTATTGTTTTGTACTTTCCTGTTTCTTTCAACAAAAATTAAGTGTGCATAGCTGCATAACATAGGAATTTGATCTTTTTTTCAAACTATCCTCTGCCCCCACCCCCCCCCAACAATGTCTGTTGGACAGTGAACCTGCCCTTCAAGTGTCTGATGGACAGTGAACCTGCCCCCTGATTAAGAGTTTGAGGAGCCCTCTTCTACAGTAGCTGAATCATTCATACAAGATGTTTAGAAAAGAAGAATACTTTGTTAAATCCCCCACTTTACAAAACAATAAAATATAAAACACATGCAATATGTGCTTAACAACAGAAAAAAACATTATTTTAATGAATTGTATAATAAGAACTCCAGTTAACAATTTTGTGAACATTTTTAACATGTTTTTAAAACCTCAATATCAAGGTTAGTAGGTTTGTAAACAAAGACAAAGGCACATAAATGTATAAGTAATTTTCATAACAAGATTGTTCAAGAAAAAGCAAACGGCTAGAACAGAACTTGTGTATAATAAAATATGCAACAAGATTAACTTATGTACATTGAAATGATGTAAAGTAATTTAACTTTAACTGGGTCGCAATATATTTGATTACAAGTTATAAACAGTCCACAGCATCCAAGAGACATTCAATCAACATGCAGTACTCCATCCCTTCCTGGGTTAAGTGTGGCTTCATGTTAGTCAGATGTTGCAGAAACCTGTCTATATCTGTCTTCATTTCAAGTGGAGCTGGCTCCTCCAAACTAGGGTTCAGAACACGAGATCTTGTTGTCTGATATGATTTATCTGAAATCAAAATTATAAGAGACATGACACGGAGTTAAATAAGGTGAGACATTTATTTCATTATGTTAAGGAAGAATTTCATGAACTATTTTTTTCTATGCAGTGGTTTATACCCCTTGTTAAGATTATATATTTAATCGTGTCTTCACTGGTAAGGATATTTTGGTACTTTCTGGAGTTTTCAAACTCTGCGCATCTAAGTCATCACATTAGAAATTTAAAGATTTTAGGGCTGAATGCCTGAATAAACCAGAAGCAGTGAAGTTTCTATAGCAAAGACAATGTTATTGACTGTTTCATATGTTACACCAAAAAAAGCATTGTTTAAACTTACATCTTATACTTTGTATGGTAGCCCAGAGGTTATAATACAGCAATACAATAAACTCATCCCAACCAGCTGGTTTCACATCTGGAGAAACCTAAACAGACACATACTTCAGGAATAATATAAAAATAAGTTACTACAATGAATGTGATTTTTTTAAAAAAAAGCCATTTTCTTCTTCCTCACAATTATTTCACATATTCAGTGTGATTATTAATATTAATAAGATGAATAAATTTAATTCATAAAAACTTTTATACTTCTTGAAAACTAAAATGATTTGGGGGGGGGGGGGGGGGGGGGGGGGGGGAAAGAGACCTGAACAAGCAATTGGTATTTTCTTGAAAAAAAAAAACACATAAAAAATGTAACAACATCCATTTTTTTCACAATTATTGCCCTCATTTTTTTACACTGATTACTGAAAATTAAAATGGATTTAAATCAAGGCTGGGCTATCTAAGCTAACTTTGCCCCAATGGGTGGGCTATCTAAGCTAACTTTGCCCCAATGACTTGACAACAGAGGCATTTTCTTTAAGTACAAAACTTAGATTAGGGCTCTCAAACTCGAGGCCCGCTGGCCATTTGCAGCCCGCAAGACGATATCTTGCGGCCTGCTACCTGACAGCAAAGTTTAGTATTAATGCGGCCGGCGCGTTGTCCACATTCTCATATCTATAATGTAACCCTACATGATTTCAGTCAAATCTCACCGACTAGTCTATTTCTGATTTTTGTTATGTTTATATAAATACCAACAGGTTTTAACGTTGATTATAATGGTAAAAACCGTTTTAAAATCGGACTGAAAGATTTTATTTGATAGCAGTTTATAAGACAAAAATGGCCAAAGTTCGGTTTTGAGAAAACAGGCTTCCAACTGTGTAAGTCGTAGCAATCTTACACAGAATCAAACACTCCCTATTAAAATTGCTGCTAGTGTGTACCAGTGACGAGTAATGGAAGTTACGAGTGATGGAAGTTCCGAGCCTGCCAGCTTGGTCTCGTGGAACATGATTCGGGAGTGTTACCGAGTGGAGGAAAACTATATTTTATCAAACAGTGCAAATAAATATTTGTGTTACCGGACCCCAGTCATGTCTTTCTCAAAACCTGCTGTGAAAAGAAAGGTTGGCGATGAGTGCAAATAATTTCAGGAGAAGGGGGAGACAGATTATTGCTTTGTTGAGCACAGCGGCATTCTGACATGCCTTATATGCATCGAGAAAGTTGGGGTGCTTAAGGAGTAGAACATCAGACGTCATTATTTAACCAGACATGCTGAGGAGTATGCAAAATACCAGGGAGATGAGAGAGAGGCCTCGGTCACTAAACTTAAAACATGTCTACTGAGGCAGATAATTTTTTCAAGAAAGCAAAAAAAGAAAGTGATGCAGCAGTTGAAGCTAGTTACGTGGTGAGTGAGATGATTGCTAAGGCAGGAAATTCATTCAAAGAAGGCGAGTTCATAAAAAATAGCATGTTAAAAGCTGCAAGTTTAGTCTGTCCGGAAAATAAGGGTCGGTTTAGCAACATCAGTCTCTCTGCCAACACAGTCGCAGAGCGCATTTCTGAGTTGTCAGGTGACATTTATGATGGACTGTGCGAGAAAGGTAAACATTTCCATGCATACTCAGTGGCTCTTGATGAGAGCTTAGCTGTTACTGAAACTGCACAGCTCGCCAATATATGTCCGTGGTGTTGATGCTAATGTTCAAGTGATGGAGGAGTTGCTCAAAATAATTCCAATGCATGGGAAGACCACTGCTCGGGAGATATTCCGCCAGCTGTGTAATGCCATTGTGGATGCCGGTTTAAGGTGGAAAAATTTTGCAGGAATAACAACCGGCAGAGTGCCATCAATGACAGGGAAAATAAATGGACTTCTGGCACATGTTAAAAAAAAACTGGAAGAGGAAGTTGTGGAAGAGGCCATTGCACTTCACTGCATTATCCATCAGCAGACCCTTTGCAGCAAATGCCGGAAGTTGGACAATGTGATGTCTGACGTTGTGAAATGCATCAACCAGATCCAGGGGCTTGAAGCACCGTCAGTTCCATGCCTTTTTAGAGGAAATAGAGTCAGCATATGAGGATGTTATGGACTTGGCTTTTCTTCTTGACATTACACAGGAGCTGAATGTACTCAACAAGAAGTTACAAGGCCAGGGGCAGCTTGTCAGTGTTGCCTATGACAATGTCAGGGTAATTGTGCTATGGAAAGCCCATCTTTCTGAGAGAAACCTCTGCCATTTTCCAACATGCAAAGTACTCATGGACTCGGGCACACCATTCAGTAGTAAGTATACTGATGCTATCGAAAAGCTACAGGAAGAATTTGAACAGGTTTAAAGACTTCAAAACACACAAAGCCACTTTTCATATTTTTGCCGACCCTTTCTCCTTCAGTGTGGAAGATACACCCACCTGCGCTTCAAATGGAGCTGATTGAACTTCAGTGCAATTCTGAACTCAAGGCTAAGTTCAAGGGGGTGAATAGAGAAACAGACAAGCTAAGACAATTTATGAGAGAATTGCCCTCCACCTTCCCTGAGATATCAGGTTGTTCAAGCGGATCATGTGCCTTTTTGGGAGTACCTATCGGTGGGAAAAGCTCTTTTCCACTATGAACTTTGACAAGTCAAAGTTCAGGGCGAAACTTACTGATGAGCCTCTTCAAGCTATACTGAGGGTCTCAGTTGCTTCCTCATTCAAGCAACATGTTGCTCAGCTTTGTAAGAAGAAGCACTGCCAGGTCTCTGGCAACAAGTAGAAGAAGAAAGTAAGTGAAGCCTAGTTCTTGAGAACCCTTAATCTTTTATTTGTTATGAATAAAGTTTGAGCAGATATAACAGCTGTACTTGAATTGTAACCACTTTTTTGTGTGGATTACTTAATGCGGCCCAGTTTCACTCAGACTCTACCTCCTGCTGCCCCCGGCTAATTTGAGTTTGAGACCCCTGGCTTAGATTGTTAACAAGAACAAAGAAAATCAATATATAGGTTGAAATAAAAATTTTAAAAGACTCTAATCAAGCCAGTCATCTCAGTATTATATTAATATTGAAATTTATGACAACATTGTCCCCAATGTATGTTTGGCTGTTATACCCACAAACACTCATGTGAATAAATACCTGTTTGGGAAAGGGGTTGAAGTATGAATCGGCAATATTTTTCAGGGAAGGGCATGGTGATGTGATTGTTTGAACAGTGTAGAGGTCCTCAATGACACAATGGGTAACTTGAGCAGTCAGTGATGGAATCTCTATGGTACTTAAGAGCAGTGTTTTCTCATCTATACTCGGAAGTGAGCAGTAAATCTTGGCAATTTCTCTTGCAACATTTCTCACAGCATTATTCTTTAAAATACGATGTTTTGTAGCGTTAAAAGAATTTCAATAAAAATAAAACTTTCTTTCAAAATGTAAAAGTTTATAAATATAGACGTGCTTGTACTTGTAGTACATGACAGTTAATGTTTTTATTAAATGCATTTATGCCAGAAATTAATTTAAGACCCAATTCAAAATTTTGATGGTCCATTAACAAGATAATATGGAGATTGGCTAAAAATGTTAATATTTATTTAAGAGGACAAGAAAATAGAGTATCTTAATTTAATTATTATTTGGAATAATGTTGTACAGGAAGGCATATCCTAACTTATTTTAAGGTTTCAGCATGATTTAAAAAAAAAAGCAAATAAGAGTTCTACAAGTAAAGGTAAAAAAAAAAAAACCCAAAAAACAACTTACTAAACAAATGTTAATTTTAGTTTAATATTAAACCACCTCACTTTGCAAGAATTATAAAAGATTAGTCTAAGAGACAGAAAGAGCATTTGTAACAAAAATTACTTCTCAACGTAAGACAGCAAATGCATTGGATTTTTTATAAAAAAATAAAATAAAAGAAAGATTTGCACTTTACCATATCTTTGATGCTTGTATTTAGTCCAAGAGAGATTAGACGCTGTACAATTATAAGTTTGTCCATCTCAAATGAGGAATCTGTTGCACTTAGCAATGATTTGAGCTCCTGCAGCAGCAACAGGAAATTTTTTCTTCCTTTGTCCCAAGAAAGTAACAAGTAAGCATAAGAATGGCAGATTTTGACTGCATCACATAAATTTCTGGTGTATAAATCCAGTTCCAAAGCTGTCAGTAGCAGTGTTAGACATGGAATGCTGATGGGGTCGTTAGCCTTGGAGGTGACACAGAAATAAAGATGGTCTTCAGTTACTGAAATGCATTCTGGATATTTTTGGTAAACTGTTGAAATCGAATGTAGAACTGCACTTGTCTGGAATGGTTTGAGCCACTTTTGGGCATCTATCCATGACCTTATGACTGATGATATTATACACTTACTTGGTGCAAAATAGCTGGCAAAGTTTTCAAGGCAAATAGAAGCAAGTTCCATGTTGACATCTTCCAATGCAAAGATGATAAACTGTTCATGATAAAAAGTAAAATTGCTTGTAGATTTTTGAACAGAATGGACGGGTAAAAAGCTGGAAATATACGGTCCAAATACAACATTTCTTTTCAGGTTGGCCATTTCTTGACTAAGCTTAAAGTCATTTTTGTTACACTGACAAATGTCCAACCATTCTTTAGATGATTTTAAGGCTTCTCTGGATTCCTCAGAAAAATGAAATGGTGTTCGTTTTAACTTACTGTATTTAATTGGTGAATCAGTGCAAATACTGTCATCACGAAGGCTATGATCATCTTTTATGTAATCACCACAGATTTGGATACAATGTATATCCTGGAGTACTTCCGAACATTCAGAACTGATATCATGACTTGTTTCATTAAGTAGATTTCCTTGGGATTGTAAAGGCTTTGTTGAACATTTGGGTGTGAATATTGTTGATATAGGAATGTTTATAGTTGTCACAGGAGTGGAAAAAGCTTGTCTCTCATCACTTATCCGTCTGCGGGATATTGCCTTTGGTTTGTAGTTTTGAATTAAGGCATTTGAAGAAACAGAACTTTCATTAACAATAAGTGAACATAAGGTGTCACAAGATGACACTGCTTGTCTCTCACTTGTTATTCTCTTGCGATTTGACAAAAAGGGTTCTTTATGTGAATAAACTGAATATGCTTTTAACTGACAGTTTTTAGACTCAGAACCATATCTTTGTGAAATTTCCTCCTGATTTAAAGAGGCAGCCTTATTCCTGTGAAATCGGTCACACTCTAAATAAGTCTTACAGTCACATAAAGATACCTTAAGTGTTTTTTGGAGATTTAACAACTTCGTCCTTTGTGGGTACCTTGTTCTATTTTTTTGAATTCCATTTACAGTTGAATTTTTGCAGAGTTCTAGATCTGGAAGTTCATCTCCATCGTCAGTTTTAATTTGAATCTTTACATTTTCTTTCAGTATCAATTGAGGTCTGTATTGATGCTTAAAATCATTAGACTGAAGAAATAATTTTTTACTTTTTGGTTTACAATTTGAAAACTTTTTCTGAAATATTGTTTAAAATTTTGTTAAATTTCAGCAAGGTTAAAGATAAATTAAATTCTATATTCAATCAAAACTAAAAAACACAGCAAACCAGGGGTAATGGTTTAGAACAATCAACTATTTGACCTTATTTTAACAAAAAGGATAACATGCATAAGTTAAAACGTTTTCTATAGTCCTCATGAATTTTTTAATAAATCTCACAACACTACAAAAGTATCAATGAATTTTAAAATTGCCACACAAAAAAAATTGGACTTAAATTTTTGAAATGCATTGAAAAAAGACAACTATAAAACAAACTTGTGACTTATTAAATAATGAAATTGAAAAAATATATATAAAAATTTGAATCTTCTGTTCCTTCAACTACTTTTCCTTACAATCATATCCCCTGAAAAGCCATCTCCCTCCCCAACTCTTTGTAATTAACTTTTAAACCTCATCATAAGTCAAATTGGCATCCTTTCCAAGAGCAATTTAGAGAGTAGGCATATATTTTTATTTAAGATGGATATTTAGTATAACCAAACCTTGGGCGCACTATGTTAGGCCATGCATATAATTTTTATGCAAGGCCTAGACCAGGTTGGGCAAACGGAACTTATTGGTCCTTTCAGTTTAGTCCAGTTGCGCAAGCTGCCAATGTTATTTTTCTGCAATTTTTAAAAATTTCCCTGTGAAATTGCATTTTGTTAAATAAGAGAAAGCTTTTCAAGCTCAATAAAACCAAGGTTGCATCCCTCTTCATATTAATAAAGGGACCACAATATTTATGTCAATTATTTGACCCCCTCCCCCAAATGGATGGATGGCCCCATGGGTCCCTAAACAATACTAAAAAAGTTTATAATAATTATTATTTTGTCAGATTTACAGACGTACAAAACCAAATCTTTAAAAAAAAGACTTTGTCAAAATGGCTGATCCACGAGGGAGAGGGGTTTGATGAATACATTTTCTTTTATGTCCTTGTTTTGACATTTAAACTTAGGCCTCTTTATAGTTAGGGCTAATAATAAACCTATTGCCTCACACCTTGCGATGTACCTGTGATGCCTACCTGGTACAGAAGAAGAGGCCTATTTATTTCAATAATTAGCCTAATTGCAACATTAATAACATAACAGTCACTGTAAATAATAATAATAATAATATTAATATGATTAAGATTTGAATAGAAAACTGAATAATATACTTGATAAGAGATAATAATAATGGGCCTATTCATAAAATTCATTCTGATTCTAACTATTTCCAATTTTTAGTATAACTATAAAAAAAAAAACATTATTTTTAATTATAATTATAACTTGTATCACTATAGTATAGACTTACAGTAACAGTTGCAATAGTTGAATTCATTATCTGATTAGTGTGCCGAGTTCTTCTCTTCTCTGTGAAACTGTTTTTAAAACCTCTGCCTTTGATCTTTTGGGTTCCAAAGCTCAAGGCCATTTTGATTTTCTATGTTTTGGGGGGGTTATCATTAACATTAACAACTGTGAATGTCTAACAGGCTTTTATTATTAGGCCTATAAAATTATGATACATACATGTTAAGCCAAATAATTAAGACCTAAGTATTATAATTTATATAATTATAATAAAGTAAAGACTTGGACTCATTGAGTTTGTATAGTATAATGTACTTTCTTGATGAAGATTTAGAATCGGAATGTAGCCTAAAACCTAAGGCCTAGCGCATGTAGTCACAACAATCCAGATCAATTCAATACAAATTTTGGACACTGCAACGTAAAAATTTTTAAAAAAAATCAATTTTCATCATTAAAATTTAAAAAATGATACGAGGACGAGTGGTAGCAGTTTGAGTTTGTCTTGGTCTTGTGTGTAGGCCTAACCCTGTAACGTAAGCATATGCAATGTAAAAAATAAACAAGTCAAAAGTCAACAAATTACTTCTTTGCCTTAATTTTTTTCTTTCATAATTAATATACTATTTTACCATGGCTTAGTCCTAGATCAAGTGTTTAACTCAAAATCAACCACCCCAAGATATCAAATGTTGGAATAGACCTCAAGTCTAGTCATTATCAATGTAATCAGTATCATCAGAAGCACAGCGTGTTTCCCAAAATAGAACGCATAAATTATACAATTAAAAACTTTGACTTTGTCCTTCCCTCTCTAATTTCGAATCAGTGATTAATAATTTAAATATTAAATGTTAATATATAGTTCAAGTACTTGGACAAAATTTTTTTTTAACATCTAGTTATTTAGATAGGTCTTGTTAAAACAAATTGATTGCTTAGTGATACCAAATTGATGGTTGTAAGCCAATTCTAATGAAAGTTAAAAACTAAGTTATGATTTTTTTGTTAATTATTTTGGGATAACTCTGTTAACTGAGACAGAAAATATAAAAGTGACTAAAATAAAAACTGGGCAGACTTTTTGAGAAAGCTGTCAACCTTGGTTGTGTTTTCCCCCCATTCATGTTGTCAAACTTTAATAAACAATGGTCTCTAGTGAGTAGCCCGTGGATGTAATGTAGTCATCGTATTCAAGTAGTCACTATTTTGAAACTTTAATAAAATTGTTGGGGAAGGGTGGGGGAATATGCATTTGTCCATTCTGGTAGTTAATTAGATGCTTTGAACAGTGGTCATTATAAAAATCGCGACTGGTGAAAAATGTACGAGTAATTAAATAGTAGACTATGAATAGTAGTAAAAACTATAAATAGTAGTATTCTACTTGAAATAATTTTTTCAAAACGATTATTTATAAACAAATCAGAAACACTGTATTGTTTAGCATCCAATTCTCTTTATAATGATATATCACATGACCTGTTATTTAATAAAAAAATGACCACGAACAGCACCCCCCCCCCCCCAAAAC